GTGTGTGTGTGTGTGTGTGTGTGTGTGTGTGTGTGTGTGTGTGTGTGTGTGTGTGTGTGTGTGTGTGTGTGTGTGTGTGTGCATGTGTGTGTGTGTGTGTGTGTGTGTGTGCGTGCATGTGTATGTATGACGAGGGGGGTCGAAAATAACTCAGGCAGCGATTACCGAGGATATAATTATACAGGTCTACTATATTTATGTTACGCGCAATCTTTCGAACTGCGCCGTGCACTTGCGATATCGCTCTGCACTGCATCTTAAAATGAGTCAAACTGACACTATATGAACAAACGCGGCGATTGTGAGGGTAATTCCGCCCCCAGATCTTGTTCTCGATATCATTATATTAACTGCATTAGCATTTCCGTGCCCATAAAACGATACAAACAATGAAATTTACTTCCTATGATAAACATTGTAAGTTTAAGACCGGATTGGAAGAGCAATTTGCGTGAAAACCGTATACAAATAGAGGTGATCGACAAATAAAGTGTAAATAAATTGAATAACTCACAGCTAGAAAACCGTTCATTATACCAGGGGTTAATAATGACAAATTGTCATTGTCATAATGACAATTTGTCGTTATTAACCTCCTGATTATACCTATCTCCATGACACATTTTTAGGTCAGCGCAATAGAGTTACATAATGACGAAGTTAAATACAGTATAATAGCATGAAAAGGCGTGTCGCTGTAAATCTATTGATATCAGCTATTAATTTCTCTTTCGGGTGCGCTACAAATTCACACACACACACACACCCACACACTTTCACAGTTTTTTTGCGTAACCTCGCAGTTGGTTGCGCCTTCTGATGCCGTATTTGTTAAACTTGGTGTTGGTATTTATACTCCCTCATCATCACGTCATCGTATCGTTTGACGTTCACCACCTCTCCCATCACAGAGATCCCGATCTTGCACAACCATGTGAGGGCGTCGGCATTGTTAAGCGTTACCGTCCATCTGTAAAAACAGGTATATATATATATATGTGAGTGAGTGTGTGTGTGTGTGTGTGTGTGTGTGTGTGTGTGTGTGTGTGTGTGTTGTGTGTGTGTGTGCGTGCGCGCGCGCGTGTGTGTGTGTGCGCGCGCGTGCGTGTGTGTGTTGTGCGTGTGTGTGTTGTGGGTGTGCGTGTGCGTGTGCGTATGCGTGTGCGTGTGTGTGTGCATGGGCGTGCGCGCGCGCGCGTGTGTGTGCCGAACATGGCCTGTGACGATGTCCTATGTTTTGGAAAAACCTGCCACATCTAACAATTCTCACGCGTAAAATAACCTCTAGTATTGCGCAAATATTCGAACAAAATTACACACGCGAGACCCCCCTTTCCTAATACGCACACGCACGCACGAGACACAATTCTCCTGGTTCTCACATATGCCATATATAGACGCGAACGTGGGTTCATGGTGTGCACAAGGGACATCGGCGACGCACGCAAGAGGCCTATGGAGATTCTTTGGGTTCACAAGCTATTTCTCACCTGTTAGGAATGCCTTGGGTACCGAGAAGGACATTACGTGGAGTGAACTTCACCGACACCACTCTGCCACCGCGAACGCCTCCCGACGCGAGCGCCTCCTGGACGACGGTGACCACGTGACGATGGTTGGTGAAGCCAGGCAGATCGAAGCACAGTGTCGTCGGACGAAGTTTGGGTAGAGGCCGCACCTTCTTCTTCGCTTCCTCTTGTTTCACGAAATTCGCCGCCAGACGGCCTAGGCTGCGAGCAGTGGATTTCACCTTTAAATCATCCTGGAACTTACTTAGCTACTTACCATACTGTCATGATACTGAACAGAGCTTTGAATTACCTATAGGGTAAACCAATACCTTTAAATAGTATCGCGGGAAAAGATTTTCATCATGTTTAATTTATTAACTAACCCTAATATCCCATAAACTAATAAACTGATATTCTAACATTTTGAGGTGGCTTATGTGATAGCGGGTAATATGTCAGCATCTACAGGCAGCATGCCTCCACACTCCACCTCTAGTGATGTGTGGAGGAAGGGCAGGTCTGATCTGGTGGGGTTCTGACTCCTCTGTTTCGTCTTTATAGTTTAGCTTTGGATAAAAATTAATGATAACGTTGATCTATTTAATCTTTTCCATGAATGAATTAAGACCTTATTAACAAATGGAGCGGTCCCAAAGTAGTTGTGATTGTTCGTAATGCTGCAATTATTCGTGCATATACAACCCATACGCTGCGATAATTCACACACACACACACACACACCCTACAACACACCACACCACACACACAAACCACACAACACACACACAACACACAAACACACACACAACAACACACCCCCAACAACACCACACACACACACAAACTATATAATATAATAATATATATATATATAGAGGAAGTACTCACGAAACCGTTGTAGATAAAACAAAAGTCAAGGCATATGAATAAGGTGGGTTAAGTTTAATTGGACAAGGCTTTCGAGGTTACATCTCTTTTCAGACAGTCGAGCAGACATATGGAATAGATCAAATATTCACAAGACAAATCAATGCGTGATAGATTAATTCAAAATGAATGAAGTACACAAATTTCGCGACGTTGCCATGATACGGAACGACAAAAGAAAACACGCAAACATAATAATTATACAACACACAGTGATCGATATATAGCGAGAGCCTTTTTTGTCGACATCAAATGGGTGAAAGAGTTGTGCAAAAAAAAAAAAAAAAAATACAAAAAAAAAAAAACAAAACCCATATCTTCAGGTTCAGATTAATATGCTAGAGGTCATGCAGTGGCAGTGTTGTTTGTGACAGGCGTACGGTGGATGTAACTTCACTAACTTGTGTGTTGAGAAATGAGCATAATTAACGGATTAATACAGCAAAAGTATATCGAACAATATAATATGGAGGAAATTAGCAGGTAGAGAAACATTAATCTTGATTTAAGTAGGATAATTTTTAGTGTATTATTTACAGCATTATTTGTTTGAAAACGCGAATCAATGAAAGATGCCTTGATGGCAACATAGTTACCAACTGTCGGTGTTGAGACATAAACCCTGACTGTGTAAATACTACGATAAAGTAACATCCGATTATGAATCTGTTGATTTTTGTTACACTTGAAAATGAGAGAATTTGATGACAGATATTGTGCATAAAATTTAAATTATATACATTATTACTATAAATAATTATAATAATATTATTTTTAATATTTTATATTAATATAATATATAAATTTATTAACCATGGGTTTATCCATATTATTTCGTATGTATACAAACTGATAATGTTTATATGTAACAACGCTCCGCGTGGGTTTATGCTCCTAAAATTGAGCGGACGTGAGCGCTCAAATTGGTAATACACCGTCATTGACACGTAATTTACGCAAAGAGTGGTTATTTGAATGCTGCCGGCACTATACGATCTTTTGACCACTAAACGCAAACACGCCACACACAACCAAACACACACCAACACAACAACAAACACCACACACAACACACAACAACACACAAACGACACACAACGAAGCAATCGCGACTCAAAAATCCCGTAATTACAAATGTTATACGTTCGAATGCCCCCTGGATTCAACACCAAGCCCTAGGATATTAATTTACTTTGCTCAGTCATGTGCGACAGTGAGCTATTGGCAATTGGGTGTACAGTATGGCATGTCAACAAGACACGCACGCCTAATCAAATGTTGGTGATACGGTTGGTATAAAATGGTCAAGCAACCGGGAAACACATGCAATTGAAGGCATTAGATTTAGAGTGTTAACACGCTATCCGCAAGGACGGGTTTGTTTTGCAAAATATTAGTAATTTTGGCTTTTAACGCTTCAATGGACGTAAATGAGGTTCGTCGCACGATATAAATGAATCCACACTATTAATTTGCCAACGCGAGGCCCTTGAACCACAGACCTATTCGTATAAATTGAAATACTGCAAACGTTTACGACACACGGGTATGAGCAGTTGGCTCACGAGGAAGATTGTCAGAGTTGTAAACGGTGCTTGAAAAAAGTGTCGCGGTAGGTTTGATATCAACGTCTGTAGCGAGCATAAAGGTGAGATGTGAAAAGTGTAACGTGCTAATTGGATCGTTTTTGGCATAATTTTACAAATTATACTTAACAATTTTGAGTGTACATGAATTGAAAGGGTGAAATAGGTTAAAAACCAATGGGCATCTGTCATGAGTATTTATTCACGAACCGTTATTAGGGGTTAACATTACGACGCCCAAATTTTAGGCAGTATCTTTTTTAATTTTCTATAGTATAGATCAGAATTGATTTAAGCCACGGTAAACATATAACTAGATAATTTATACGAAGAAATAAAGAAAAAATATCAAACCGTACAATAATAACATCGTGTAATATTCAATCATAGTTGAATTTGGAAGCTTTTGTGTTAAAAAATTTTTGAGGCTGCTATCTTTTTATATCGTAAACAATTGTTGAGAATGCGGAACGCACTATTTTTGTGTGAGCGAGGGGGAGAACGAAGATAAATAGATAAGAAGAATGAAATGTCAGTGGGTTTAAAACAACTCGAGGTAACTAAGTTAAAATTACCAGAGATGATAGCACCATGTCCGAAAGGAAGACTCTCAGACGGATGTAGAGTATGATATAAAATTATAGACCGGGTTGGAAGATGTGACATCAGGTATCGATTGAAATTTTTGCAAATCAGAAAGTTTCATTAGATGCAAGGCTCCAAAAACAGATCACATTACGAGAAAGAGCTCGGTTTGAGTCAGTGAAAAGACGCGAAACATTTTTTATTCAAATTATCAATTAATATATATAATATATTGATATATTAATATATATAATATATATATATCATAAATTATATATATATAGAAGGAAAGCAGGTATAGGAATAAGGGTGTTTTAAAAGTTTAATTGATCAAGCTTTTCAGAATTACATTTTATAAGAGTAGCAGGACTAACAAATACATACAAATGCGATTATAGATAATCAATTGTAGTCACACATGTGTGTGCGTGAAAAAAAGAAATGGTATGTGTGCGTGTGATGTGTGGAAAATGTGTGTGTGTGTGTAGTTGTAGTTGTTGAAAAACTGTAGTGTGTGTGTGGTGTGTTTGTGTGTGGTGTGAATGTAGTGCGTGTGTTTGTGTGTGTGATGTGTGTGTGTGTGTGTGTCTAATGTATGTGTGTGGTGTGTTTTGTGCAGTGTGTATAATTGCGTGTTCTATTTGTCGTCGTATTTCATTGGACAACGCGGCGTTATTGTAGTGATTATTTATTTCTATAAGCCATGTAATTTGTTTATGATATATTATGATGCTTTCGATGTCTTGCTGACCTGAATGAGAGATGTAATCTCGAAAAGTTGTCAATTAACTTTACACCAACTAATTCATATTCACATTGACTTTGTTTTAGATATATAAATATATAATAATTATAATATATTATAGATATATATATTGCTGGCAAGCTCGTCGCGGTTAAGTCGCTTAGTTGGTTCTCGACATCGCAATCAGGCAGCGCACTGCCGTCGGGATTCAGAATTTTTCGGATCTCGCATCAATCGTTAGTCGAATGCGACCTCGAAGATTGTTCGATGGTGCGTGCGGATCCAGAGCAATCTTCTATATGCTGGATCGTGAACGCTGTCGTGATCGGCTTTCTGAACTATTGACGCTGTACGTTGACCTTAATTGCTTATCGGCATGCCGCTGTCGTGACGTTTTCCTCATCAGGTGACGCTGTCGTGCGACTTATCGATGACATGTGGGGGGCAGTTGTCAGGGACGCTATTCCTGATCGTGACAAGTTAGGTAGTGACGTTTTCCTGAATCGTGACGCATGTTGTGAACGCGTCTCCTGACGTAGAGTCTGTGACAGCGTATTGACGGCTTATCACTGACTTCGTGGACGCTGTCGTGCGTTCTCATGACGAAAATTGTGACGCGTCATTAGACGTCTAATTTGACCCGTTGACGCATCGTGACGCTCATTTCATCTGATGAAGCTGTTGTGTGACGTTCTCCTGTCGTGACGGCTATCGGCAGTTCTCGCCGAGCTGATCCGGCGCGCCCTCCGCTGTAGTCCGTATATTCGTTTCATTCTCACCGAGTAGATGGCAGGTCGTGGTGCGCAGGGTGTCGGCCACGGTGGTTAGGTTCGCTCGGCTACGAAGTAGATCTGTCCACGATATTCGATGATGTTCTGAACGCGCAACGCTGGCGGACATTCCGGGCGGACCGTTGGCACCTCGAATGAATATTCAGGTGATGCTGTGTTCGACAAGGACAAGGATGTGTGACATGTCACTGTACTGGTGTCGTGAGCGGGCGTAAGTCACGGCGGATGGTGACATTGCCGAAGAGCTCTTGCTGTTTCAAGTTGCTGTAGCTGTGTTGTGTGTTGATAGATGGCGACTAGAAGTCCTGACGGCATGTTCGCATCAATTAGTAAGAAGCCCAGGTATGTTGAGCTAGTAATAGGAGGTGTTACAGTAGCAAATGAGCGAATGTTAACGACATAAACCTGAACGATCTTGGGTTCTGATCTTCTTTATTTCTCTCGTTCTATATTATCTATCTATTTCTATTCTATCTTCTATCATATCTATCTATCTATCTAATTATCTACTCTATCTATGCATATCTATCTATCTATATATCTAATTAATTTATCTTCATTATCTATCGAGCTTATCTATCTATTTATCGATCGATTTATATCTAATCTAATCTATCTAATCTATCATATCTATCTATCTTCTATCATCTA